CACGATTTTTCTCTCTTTAAATGGATAATTATTAAACTTATCTCCTGCCTAAACCATCAACCAAACAATTTAACTTACACTAGATTTAAAGGCATTACCTCTCGGTTTTCTTACTTTTATTTAGGGAAAACAATTCAAGCTTATGTCCTTGTCATGCTACTAACTTAGATCAATTCATTCACCATTCTTTCTAAGTTTTATCCTCTCAGGTTTTCACACTTTTTCTTATAAGATAAATGTTGTTCCTACCTCTCTTCATTCAACCACTCAATATATTTCAGATTCATGATATTTCCAATAATTCCATTTAGGTCCAATGTCCTTTTTGATAATTCAGCCCTCAAGGGCACTAGATCAATATCAATATATCATTGTATAATTATTTTCGCTGCACAATCTCTTAATTCATCAAGTCTTTTGTGATAAGATACAAATGATGCATGTAGCACTATCAATATAGACATTCCTTGGCATAACCATAACAAATAGTAAGTCATTCAAATTTTCCAGCCAAGTGTCTATTCAACCTCTTCACGGTTTTTCAAGGAATAATAATATTCATGAATAGTACCTTATTTCACATCACTTACATTTTTCCAGCAACTCATTCAAGCAAACATCACTAATTTAAAGTACCAATACCAAGCAACATCAAGGTCAACCACAACCAATTTTACAATCAATCATTCAATCACACACTCAACCAAGTCCCACACGGTTCAAGGCATTCAAATCAAGACAACACACTTTCAAATTCAGTTTTAGTTTCCTTAAAATGCAAGGTACATACAAGATATTTTTCTGAAATTTTGCAACACTTTTGGATGTCAAAACCGAGACCATCCAAGTCCATTTCCACTTTTTCCTTCATAACTCTTTTTCTCATTACTCTTAATAAACTTTTCAAAATTATTTCAAGTTCCAAATCAATTTATTTCAACCTTTTTCCTCAAAATTTTTAGAACTGTCCAGCCTCCAAAATCTCATCATTTGATAAGTCACTAACAAGTAAATTAGAGAAAATCAACATGCAAACACAAGATTCCATTATCTAAGTGCAGTATTTTAATTTTCAGCAAAGGAATATGTTTTAAAAGGATACACCGAGACAACACAAGGGCAATTTAGTGTTCAAACTCTCAAAATTACTAAAGGAGTTCTTTTTATGAAATTAGGTTTGGTAACAAAGTGTCTAAGACATGCAAATTCACGGTTCCAAGGTCTCAAGGGTAGATTTTTATTTATTCAAGAGATTTGGCAAGAAGACCTCTAAACCGAAACTTGTACAAAAGGTTTCCAACATATTTTCAAGTTCAAAATTTCGTACAAAGGTTGGATGTCACATGCAAGGGTTAAAAATTCAAACTTTCTAAAGAATCTCTTCACACAAAACCAAAACCAAAACTTTGAAAGTGAATCAAGTAATTTTCAAGCGAAAATTCAACGAGTAAGTTAAGGAATACAACATGCAAACTCATGGATCATGGCTTTGAAGGTGGATCATCATAGAAATCAAGGATTTCAAACATGCTTTGAGAGAATGAAAAGTGTGAGAGAAAGGTAGAGAGAAAAGAGAGAGAGATTCTCAGTTTTTGGCTTCCAAAAGGCTTAATCACAATTAGCAAATCTGTTTATATGGAGGGTTCAAACTTTAAGTGACCAATTGCCACTTAACATGTACATTTTGGCTTGCTTGGCAAGACTTCCAAACTGAAAAACTGCACACAGTTTTAATTGAGTAAAAGCTGAAGTGAATTTGGTAAATTGGTGCAAGGAAAGAGGTGTCACGGTTTTTAGTGCATGAATAGTGAATTTTGGGAAAGCTTGTAGGCAAAGTTAGTAAAATTCAGCAAGCAAAATGTATGGAACACTCTAGGCTAGATGCACACAGTTTGGATATCACAAATCCCAAAATTGGTATAAAATACCAAAGCTATGATTTTGGACAGCAATTGCATGAAATTTGGTTGGCCGAGAAAAATACGACATGACGAGATTGTCACTTGAACGAGACTTTTGATGTGGTGCTAAGTTCAACAGAATGTGATTGGTTAGAATAATTATGATGTTGGTAATTTGGAAAACATGAAAAGAAAGTTCCAAAATGACCTTTGTCGGTAAATCGGGAGACAAAATCCCGTGCATGGAATTCTAGTGGTCAATACTAGATTTCGGAATATTCGGGCAATCAAGATGTTTGTAAAATGGGGGACAAGGTTTGTTTGCATGAAAATCTAGTGGCCGATACTAAATTTGGAAATCTTCGGGTAATGATTACTAGATCTCATGGAATTTTAGGCAATGATTTTGACGGCTAAGAAATCATTACTAAATCTTTGTAATGATTAGGAAATCTCACATTTTTTGAGACGGATACTTATGATTTGACAATTATTCAAATAAGATAGAATTTAACTTTTCGGATAAATCTCTCGGGGATATTTTAGACAATACTGCTGAACAATATCAGGGGATTCTTGGACGATATTGGAACCAAGTATTTTGCATGCAGTCACCCTAAAATGCCGAACTCATAAATAAATCAATATTCTAAAAATTAAAATTCAGCATTTATCTAATTATTCTGACGCTAGCAAGCCGGAACCAGTTAATAATTAAGATCTAATAACTACTAGCTAATTTACGGAAATTGGGGCGTTACAACTTGCCTTGTTTCTTAATTAAATATGCATTGTGCAATTTTCCATCTAGATGATTGAGGCCTTCTTTGTACATACCCTTCCCCCCACCCTTGCACTTCATTCCCTTGTTCTCAACTTCTTGCTTTTGCCAAACTTAGTCCACAAAAATAATTCCCTTTCCTTAATAGAGGTATTTCTTTTGAGTTGCCTCAAGATTGAGTGCAAGAAACTAAGTTTGGGGTGTTGATTATGCTTGTCATTGCTTGAGGACAAGCAATGACTTAAGTTTGGGGTGGTGGACAGCATACATGTTCATAATACATGTAAAAAAAAAATGATTGTCAAAGTCCATGACATCACAAAAATATGAATGAATGAATGAAAAAAGAAAAAAGAAAGAAAGAAAAATATAGCAAGGCATTTGAGTTGAAAAAGGATTTCCACATAAGGCAAATTAAAAAAAAAAAACAAAACAAAATGTGGTGAAAGAATGCTTGAACCTCTTAAGCTACATCATTTAAGCCATTTCACTCTAGTTGTTGTACTAAATCCCTCAAAAGAACTCCCTCCTCTTGAATACCCACTTGATCTTATGACCCTCCTTGATTAAATATGAGCCTATCCTAACCCCATTTGTGACCAACAAAGCCCTTATGATAGGTGATTCATTGTGTCTAGGCAAAGAAGATTGAGAATATAGGCAAGCCTATGGTAGGGTGAGGGAAAATGCATGGATTGAGGGAAAACACTTAGACTGAATTGTCCTTGAGTGATGAGTGAAACACCACCTTGTGAGATGGATAGTTTCTTTGCATTATGTGAGTCACATGAAACCTTGTTTGATTCTTTTGTTTCAATTTAGTGGGACTTTGCATGGAATATTTGACATGAATATGATTCCTCTGTTGAATGAGTCTATGGTTGCGAAGATGTTGGATGTAACGACCCAAAATACTGACATAGTCAAATATGTCTCTGATACTTTATTTTCAGAAAACACCAAAATCTGAGACTTTTTTTTTTTTTGTAAAGAGAGTTAACGTGCACAAATTATTGCATTCGACATTCCCTTTTTCTCATGGAGGTTCATTACCTCAAATCATAACAATTATATCATAATAATATAACATCAACATCTCGACATCACTGAATAATTCCATACGATAAAGTAGTGAAATAGTTAGCAACATAATCCAAAGTACTCAAATAAAACCACATAGTTGGGGGCATATAAAATAAAGTAATCTCACTCCCTAAGACCAGTTCCCCTAATACAAAATCATCTCATCACCCAATCTCACAAAATATGGAGCATAATCTCCTATCGAGTCAGATTCCTCAGAAGAGGTAGGGGAAGAAGATGTGGCAGCAATAGAAGGCTCTCCATCACTATCATCAATCCAACCAGCAGCGCGAGGAGGCGAACGGGAGGTGGCAAGAGGTGAATGAGGAGGTGGATAGGTAGGAGGTGGAGAGGAAGGTCTAGCCTCACACCTAACTGAGGATTCCACCACATGGACATCCTTCTCAACAGGTGCAGGTGCGGTCACAGGGGTAGGTGTATGGGGATTAACAAAGGTGGGTGATAGAGAAATGGGTGGAGTAGGGTAAGGTAACTACGGGTCTCCAGAGGGTGCAGAAAAGATGATCTCAACAGGGGTATCAGCTACATACTCAGTGATCCATGAGCCTCCACTATACTTCCCATTAACGACGAGTGCGAAGCCACGGAAGATACTTTGATGGGTCGCGGCATCGAACTCCCACATGTCTTCCTCAGACGAAAGGGCCATCACCCTCATGCTGTGCCTGGCCATCTATAACATATAGAAAAGGGATACAAACAACACAAATCCAAGGGGTGAGTTCTCCAAACACAAACATCATATAATTGCCATACCCCAAGGAAGGCGGCATTTCAAGCGCAGGCAGATCAATCACCATAATTCATAGCAGTCTCAGAATAATCAAGGCATTCCATCATCATAGGACATATAGATATATATGGAAGAAATCGAATGAATACTCAATACTAGCACTCACAAGCAATTCCATAATCACAACCAATTCACTACCTAACAGTAATGCATATGATGCATGGATGCAAGTTTCAGCCTCACAGGGATATTCTCTCATGTTTCAATAATGTGCATATGAATGCATGGGGATCCCATCCTCTATGACTGGCGACTCTCCCAGTCGGTACCATAGAGTTCAACAATTGAGTCAGAAAGGCGATCGGAGGACTCCATTCCCTGCATCGTTCTGCACAACAGTATAAAATTTATACATATATCGGATGCGCTCAGCATCAAAGAACACCAATGGTGTTTGGCCCCTCAGTGGGTCTCTTCGGGAATGGACCTCGACGACCATAGAATGCGCGGTCCTTGTCGGGTTTTGCTAAGGTCTGCAGGTGGATCATGACTCGGCCACAGGCGCGCCTCTTACCTGTTACCACTTGAGTCTCCAGATCCCCTTTCACCACCCCCTGTAGGTCAATCTCGGGACCGAACCAACGACACCTTCAAGCTGTGCGGTTGTAAGTGCCTTCGAGTCGTTTCAAGCAATGAAATGATGCATGAGGTGGCATCTTTAGTCTTATTCAATAGTTTTGTCATTTTATCAAAATTAGCACAGTAGCATAGCATCGAATAAAATAAAACGATGCACAACATAAGCCAATGACTTAGCAAACATGGATAGGTTCCATGAGCCTCATTAATCACATGGATAGATTCCATGGTATTTCAAACATTCTCGTGGATAGATTCCACAATCACAGTCATTCAAGTGCAGCAAAATACATTCCAATATGGCAATCCATTCAATTCATTACTTATCATTCGAATCGAGTCTCACTTTTTACTTTGACATTCTCGCTATTCAAGGTTCACCCTAAATGATTCCCCAATTGAATTAACATTTAGCTCTATCTAAGTTTCCAATAATTTTCACTAAGTTCCACACTCACTTGGTTTCTTCTCTCGGTTGTTCACTCTCCAATTAAGAAATTCCAACCAAACTTAAGGTCCCTCTAATCCTTTAATTAATTAGACTAATCCACATAAATTCTAAGTATTTTACCTCTCGGTTTTTCACACTCAATCAAGGAGAATTGGTCAATCTTAGCTCCTTCTAATCCTTTAAACAATTCAAGCAAACTCACAACACTCTTAATCATCTCTTTGGTTCTTCTTTCTTTCCTCACAATTCATACACTCCACCAACCATTCCACATTCTCGGTTTCATTACATAATTCACCTCATCCATTCATCAAGCCACAATTCAATCCCATTTCCAAGCCCCAAGGGCACAAGTTCATTATCATCATAGCACTTTTAATGTCAAGGTTGCACTTTTTCCACATTCATCAAATTTATCAAGATTTCATTCCATTGAGATGCAATGATGCATGATTGAACTATTAGGTGAGTTCATGGCACATTCATGACTCTTAGCACGCAATTCATATAATTTTAAGCCATGTATTAAACCATAAAACCACTATTTCACTAACACATTTCCGCACACATGTCACTATTTTTCACGTAAGAAATACCAAGCATAGCTAGTAATATTTTCATATCATGCACACTTTTTCCAGCACCTCACACATAGGTAGAAATCAAAGTTTTCACATATCCTTGCCATGATAACACTTCACATCATACAGCAAAATGCACACCAACAAAACACAATTTCTTACCATGATTTTTCCAAACGTCTCTTTACACACATCAAGTAAACTTTCCTAAATTTCAGCCAAGTAAAAGTCTCTTTCTCCTTTGATCAAAACCTTATTTTAACGAAGGCATATAAGGAAATTTTTATAAAAAGTTTTGGAATAATCTAGCCATTCCAAGGATAAAAACTGAGGCAAGCAAGGCCAAGTTTTGGTAACACATTTTCGTAAGACACTTGCCTTATGTTCACATATCATTTCCAAAGGTAATCACACCAAATTACAAGAGATAATCCACCTTTTGCTTAAAAAATAGCGTTCTGTCCAGCCCCTAAATACCATTAAATTCCTCTAAATTTCTACACTTACACACTTTAGAATGAACATGCATTCACTTCCTAACATCATCCAAGTACCAATTTCATTAGATATGGAATTCAAGGAGAAAAACACAAGAAACAAGGTTCAAATAGCCATGCAAGGTCACGACTTTACTATTCCAAAGAAAGGGTACATTTTAAACAAGAATGCAAGCACAAAGAGTTCAAAACCGAGGCATCCACTATATGAAATCAACGTGCAAGGCCAACAAATGGAAACTTTTTGAAGATCTAACACATGCAAGAGGAAAAATCAAGACTTTCCAAATGGAAAACAACATGCAAGGGTTGCCATGGATGCACACACTTTCGAATCACCATTTCAAGTATTGGAAGCATTCTAAATAAAATTTCAGCAAGGTACAAGTCAAAAATCGAGACAAGGTTCAAAGAGAAATGGGCATGCAATCATAAAAATCATAACTTTTAAGGGTAAATTTACATGCAAGGGTAAAGACTAGGACTTTGAGGCAAGAAAATTCCAAAACCATCATGCAAGGATTCATTCACATCACCAAAGATTTCCAAGAGGCAAAGTATAGAGTTTTCATGGTACAATCACGAAAAACACAAAGAAAATGGCAAATAAATTAAAGCAAGGTGAGAACTCCCCCTTGCCTTGTTTTGGACGTGAAAAATGGATGAAGAAAAGGCTTGAACTCCAAGATCTTCAAGTGCAAAGCTGAATCTGAGAAAAGGTTGCACCAAAGACTCCAAAATTCTCCACCAAAAATGTCCTTGAGAGATTTGCACGAAAATGGAGGAACTTGGAAGGGTTGGTCCTCTCGATTTTTGCCTTGAGAAAAGGAAGGGAAAAGAGTGCTTGAGAGGATGGTGGTTCTCGGCTTAGTCTTTGAGAGAATGGGTGAGATTGAGAGAAAGTTGCATGTGTTTGGTGGTGTGATGGATGCAAAGTGAGGAAGAAGTGCTCACGGTTTTGGATGGCCAATTGGGTTATCTTTGCTTGCTGAAATTGGTTTAGTGTGCTTTTAAATTTGCAGGTTTCCCATGGTGCAAAAGTGGACGTGAAGGGTGAGGGGTCCAAGGGAATATTGGGTGCAAACTTTCAAGGAGAATAGTAATTTAGGGACTTGTGAATATTTGAAACCATCCTCACCGATTCTAGCTCCCAAAAGCAAGGAGAAATGTGTTAATTTTGTGTGCAAAGTGACAAGAATCAAGCATGGAATTTTCGGTCAGCCAATGAAAACTAGGGATAGGATTCCATGAAGCTATGCACATGATTTTGACAAAATAAGGTTGAATGAACAAATTTGGCAAGAAACAAGTGTGGAATTTTTGGCTACCAAAGATGGAAATTGGCCTAGGTTAGTACAAGATCACGCACGCGGTTCAAGGGTTCAAACTTTTAGGTTGCATGGATTTTCTAAAACTAAGATTGCATGCAATGTGATTGGTCGTCATAAATGCGACGAGACTTGGTACAAATTCTGAAAAAGGTAAAATTTATAATGGCAGCTCCTCGAAAAACACAAAAGGAAGTTTCAAATTTCAAGGCGTCCTTGAATCAGAAAACGAGACACTTGCATGAAATTCTATTGGCCAGAAATAGATTTTGGAAGATTCGGCGCAATGATTGCAGCGGCTCAGCACTGACTATGATGAAAAAGTGCAATCATTGCGACGGCTAAGTAATGATTACGGCGAAAAGTGCAATCATTACAGGATCCAAGTAATTATGGCAAAATCTAAGTAATTATTACTAACTTTGCACGTCTTTTGAGGCAAAAGTAACTTTTTTGAAAAGTAAAGGTAAAAACACTTTTTGGCACAATTTTCAAAGCATTTTCTCGAAATTCATAACGGAACAAGATTAGGGATTATTGGACGATGTCGGGACCGAGTATAATGCATGCAGTCATGCTAAAATGCAGGGCTCTCTACGAATTGAGACGATCGATTCGAGTCTAATATCTAACTATCTATTCCGACAGTGGCAGGTCAGAACTGCGAGAAATTCACGACTCTATCAGATAACAATTAGGCTACAAAAATTGGGGCGTTACATTGGAAGTGCTAATTAAAGCATGAAGTTGAAATGAAAATCTCTAAAAAAAATTTTGGATAAATCCAACCCTCTTCATTTGATTTGCTTGAAGACAAGCAAAAGTTTAAGTTTGGGGTTGTGATGAATCCACTTTTTATAATATTTTTACTTGCATTTTTGGTGCTGCTTGATAGAAAAAAATGGACTTAGATAGTGCAAATAATATAGAAATCACATTTTGAGTAAATATCATAGGTTTATTAATTTTTGGTTAATTTGCATTTAATTACATAGATATAGATTGCAATTTTAATTGTCTTGATAATTTTGCAGAGTCCCCAAGTTAATTTTGAGATATCTTGGCCCTTGGATGAAAGTTGCCCCCAAAGTAGCCACTTTTAGGAGCAAAAGTGGCAACTACAGCAAGTCTGGGCATTAAAGGTTCCAAAGTAGCTACTTTCAACCTTTAAAGTAGCAACTCCAGAGAGCTCCAGGGACGCCATTTGAGAAACATTTTGCGCATGGTCACTATTGTCTTTCACAGTGGCTACGCGCATCCAAAGTAGCCACTTTCAGCATGCAAAGTAGCAACTCCAGAAAGCTCCAGGACGCCACTTTTGGAAGCAATTTGCGCGTGGTCACTATTGCCTTTGAAAGTGGCTACGCACATCCAAGTAGCCACTTTCAACATGAAAAGTGGCAACTCCAGAGAATTGGCAAGCTTACGTAAATATGCGCGTGGATACTTTCAAGGCCCAAAGTGGACACTTTCAAAGGTAACAGTGGACACTTTGCTGACATGTCTTCCACTATAAATAGATTTTAGGAATTAGGGTACGGGGACTTGAACATTTTTATTTTCTTTCATTCTCTTTGCCAAATTAGGACAGTTTCTTTTCAGAGCTTTGGAGCCTTGGGTGACAGCCATGAGTCCATTATAGGTTTTAATTTCCAATTTCCCTTTGATTCTTATTGATTTTACATTAATGTTGTTTACGTTTCTGCATTCCTTTCTTTCATTTGTGAAGCCCATCCATATGGAGGGCTAAATTCTCTTGTAATTCCTAGTCAACTCATATGGTTCTTGAATTCTTGGGTTTAATGGCAATATTACTCTTTCTTTCCTTGGATTTATTAACCCCAATCTCTGAATGAAATGAAATTTACATGAGGGGAACATTGCTTAATGAACCCTAAATCACCTAAACAAAATTCTAATCCAAAATTGCTTAATTTTGATTAATCTTTGAGATTGCTTAATCTTAGGGATAGAGATTGGAGCCCATTAAGATGCTTAATTTTAATTGGGATGCTAAAGTTAATTTTTGATTGTT